CACCATCACACAAACAAAATAATAAAAATAAACAAAAAAAGAAAGATGTTTCGCCACCACCAAAAAGAAGTTATTAGTAACATATATGATATGATAAATAAATAACAAAAAACAAACAGTTCTCTTCGGTTGGAAAAAAATTATTATTGCACGATAAACGTTTATCACGTGGAAAGAATAATCATGTAGATTGATTTCAGAAAAAATGAAATCAAAATTAGGTTTGAAAAATAAAGATTTTATAAAAACAAAACATTTGCCGTACGACAAATTTTGCTAAATATGGTTGATCGCGCTAAAAAACCGAAAAAACCAAAGAGACAATCGGCAAAAGGCCTCGGGTTTTGGGACACGACAAATGTTCAATCTTTTTTTTTTTTTTGTGTTAAATAACAGACGATAATAAAATGAGAAATATTAATTTATGGATGTGGGAGGTTGAACAATGACTGACATTTTAATTCCAATTATTTATTATGATCTTAATAAAAAAAATATTTCAACATATAATAAAAACCTTAACTAATATTCAAATAAGTTTAGCATAATTAAAAAACATAATGTTTTTTGAGGGGAGAGAATCTTTTAAAAGTGAATCATTTAATAAAATAAAAAATAAAAAAGAAAATAAAAAACAATAATAAAGAGTGAAAAATTAAAATTAATTAAAAAAAAAAAAAAATACAATATTATTAATATACTTTTAGCAGTTGTTGTTGTTATTTACAATATTATAGTCTAATTAATTTGATATATACAAAAAATATTTACAAAAAATATGTTACAAAATAAAAAATTTAATTGGCCGATCGTCGTTTTTGATCGAGAATCATCGTTTCATTCCGAATTATATATTACATATTCCGTCGTCAGTCATCATTTTTTCTATCATTGTTATAATTAAAAAAAAGAACAGGAGAAATGAAAATAAAATATAGATAAGGATAAGAAGAAGAAAAAGAAAAAAAGGAAAAGAAAAGGAAAAGAAAAAGAAGAAAAGAAGAAAAAGAAAAAGAAGAAAAAGGAAAAGAATAAAAGAAAGCTTATATTGTTATTATTATTATTATGTATTAATTATAATTAAACCGATTTATTAATTATATGATTTTTGAAAGTCAGTGAAATCGGCGAGCCGGTGAATCAGTTGATCAGTGAGGGTTTTTATATATATATATAAAATGCGAGATTTAATATGACATATAAAAAAATCTTATTTGTTAACTTAATGGCTAATTCACATAATTTTGCATATATGAATTAAGTTTGAGCGATTTAAATGAGGGTTAAAAATCTTAATTTTTAAAAAAAAGTTTTTTTTTTTTTTTTGATTTTTTTTGATTTTTAAAAAATTTATTCGTTTATTTGTTGAGAGAAGAAGAAAAGTTTGGGATCTTTTATATATAAAAACGGATTATAATAATAGCTATAATTGTAATAACAAAGTTAATTTATTTATAACTATATTGTATTGTTTAAAATAAATGTCAAAAACTTTAATTAATTATTAATTATACTATTATTTAATTTTGTATGTGGTACCCAATTTAACCTTTATAATAAATACACAATAATAACACACACACATTCATTCATTCATTCATACACACACATTGATACAACGTATACATACACACACACACATACACACACGCATTCATTCTTTAATAATGTTTGCATTATTTAAAAAGTTTAACTTTTAAACTAGATACATGTCTTAACTAAACCATTGATTACTATATTGAGGAGACAAAAAATACAAGTGTATTTGATTTCCATTCAAAATATTCTACCAGTTGTCTATAATTTCATACGAAACTGGGTTTGAATTCGACTTTGAATGCTAAGATTATAAGTAATTAATTCTTCTCATACAACAACACTTTTCCTGTTATCGATTTCCATCTTTTTATTTAAATGATAGGATAATAATAGAAAATTACAATATAAATAGAATTTATTGTTCTCTCTTAATTTGTGAACAATAATAAATATTTTTTATTTTATTTTTTTATCTCGAGCCAATCAAAAACAACAATAATTTTAGTAAATTTTTCTTCTCCGGTCTGGGTCAAAATTGAAGATCGAATATGTGATTAGTCAAATGTTGATTACCTCATCTGCAACCTTTGTTTATTTATATTTTCTACAAAAACATCATTAAATAGAAATAATGGTGGTTAGGTAATGAATGATGTGGATTGATTCATTGAGAATTAAATAATAAGAACTGGGAATTAATTGAATAATAATAATATAACAAAAAAAAAAAAATAATAATAATAAAGAATTTTTTATGATGTTACAAAGTTTCTTAATAAAGAAACAATTAAACTTTTTCACTTTTATTATTTACAAAATGTACAACAAACACTTGTGCTTTATTATTCAATATAATCATTATTGAATAGCAGAATAAAGCATGGTGAATAATAAGCATATTATTGAATAATAATTCTTTTTGTCTTTAATAATTAATGCTAATGTGAATTCCACACTCTTTTCATTAATGCAATAATTAATGGTTGTACACTGCATACATACATATACATACCAATACATCAGAGTTTCTTAAAAAAGATCCTAATTTCTAACTTTTATTTTATTTACTTTGTTCGACTTCTTCTTACTTTAATTCACGTATATGTAGTGGATTGAAGAAGTTAACAGACTTTGTCCTGGAATTCCTGTTATTTTAGTTGGATTAAAAACAGATTTAAGAAATAGCGAAACAGAAATTGAAGATATGAGGAATAAAGGCCTTTCTTTTGTTGATCCAAAACAGGTACATATATCATACTTGTACAATAAAACATGCAAGTATTCACAATAATTAATTATTAATTAACATTTAATTTTAGGGAGAAACAATGGCGCAACAAATAGGAGCAAAGAGATATATAGTATGTTCAGCATTAACGGGAGAAAATGTTGATCAAGTTTTTGAAGTTGCTTCAAGGAATGCTTTATTGGTAGGAGGTCCAGGAAATAATAATGGTTGTTGCGTCATCCTATAAAATTATCAAGAAAAAGCGAAGATGATAATTAGTATTAGTATTATTAGTGATTAGTATATTATTGTTAGTTTTTTTTGTATTTTAGTTTTTTTCCTCCTGATGATTGATCAATTATATTTAAA